ATAGATAGATAGATAGATAGATAGATAGATAGATAGATAGATAGATAGATAGATAGATAGATAGATAGATAGATAGATAGATAGATAGATAGATAGATAGATAGATAGATAGACAAGGAAACACTTCATCTTGAATTGAAATTGTGTTTTATTTTTGGTTTAAATGGGAATAAATTAAATTTAAGATAAAACAATCCAGAAAACAGCAATCGAGCACATCTGGCACATCTGGTACATCACAGACCCTGCTTTCTACGCAAACTCCTGCGCTGAGATCACAAATTTGGAAGGGAAAGTCTGGTGACCGTCCCTCTGTTGGGGTCTTTAAACACTGTGATTAATGAACGATGAGTGGATAATGCAACCTTTTTTTTTTTTTACTAAAGGGTATGCGTGGGGTGTGCGTGGTTCTTCGTCCTTGTGTGTCTCTGTGTGTGGACTATCCAGGGGTGTACCCTGCCTGTTGTCCATTGACTACTTATTCCCATTTGGGAATAAGAGGTTCAGAAAATAGATGGATGACTTTGGAGTTTTTTTTCTTGACCAGGTAGACGATATTCCAGATTTCAGTCCAAACAGTTGGCCTATTTGTTTTTTGCTCGTGGAGGTAAAGTCTTCAAAGATGGACGTGTGCGTACTTGCGCAGTATCCCGCTCACTATTCCGGTCAAACTCATGAGGGCCAGGGCAGAAAGGGCAGCCAGAGTCAGATAAAAGCCAGGCAACCTGTCGATCACACAGCACTCAGTCACTCTCGAGCAGATGTCTATCCACATGTTTGTAACTCGGCGAGATGAAGAACCTTTTCTTGGTAGACTTGACGTATCCGTTGAAGTACATGTGGCGGGCGGAGATGTACGCCATCCCGCCCACGACCGCAGCCCCCTCACTGAAGAACAGGCCACAGGTCCACAGAGTCACCAGGAACAGGGGGTAAAACTCCACACAGTTCTGACTGCAAACACACAACTTATAATGGAGATTCCTACATTTTGCCAAATTTCGTGTCATGTTTTTTGGGGGAGTTTTTGCTGAATATTTAGATTCAAGATTCAAGAAGCTTTATTTAAGCTTTCCCATGAATGATGTCTGGCCTGATTTGGTAAAACAGGACTGGAGCTTATTCTAATCTAATCAGTTTGATTTATTTCGCACCAAATCACAGCAAATATCAACTTATGCCAGTTCAGTCGTAATCTTATTGCAATAAAGTCACAGTGCAGTTAACTTCATTGTAACCTTAATCATTCTACAAATACATTGGAACCTGTAGTTTATTCCTTCTCACTTTGCTCTCCTACTTTTGAACGAGTTTTACAAAAAATAAGACATTTGATAGTTTCATATCAGTTTGCTCATTTTAAAGCTGGCAACTTGCTAAGCAGTGAACAATGTGTGATTAAAGTCTTAACTTACACTTTTCTTGGTTGCAACTGGATAGTTTTTTCACAAGATTAATACTTCATAGAGCTAAGGGTGGTATAATTACATATGTTCTATTTTTCTATGCATTGTAACACACAATACTGACTACAGGAAAGACTGGATTATTATATCATGTATTTGTGAAGAGACTAATGTTTTTACTCTGAATTCTCACCTCAATTCCCTTAAAATCTTAATGAAATGTGTGATAGAGAAATTACTCATTTAAAAACTATTTTTGCTGATATGGCAGAGCTCATCAGCTTGACGCTGTTTGTTTTTTTTTAAACAGGCATGTCAGTGTTCTTACTGTGCACGGAAGGTCCGCTCAAACTCCGGAGGGCCGTTGACGGCAGGGGGCAGGATTTTGTGGGCCTCCCTAGCCCGCCCCACCCGTCGAGCTAGGTAGCCTGAGGGGACACAGGAATGGAGAAAATAAATCTTTGTTAACAACACTCTTCATAACAATGTACACTATGTTCAGAGTCCCTTTCACTTTTTGAAAGTTTAAGTTTGTGAATTTCAATTTAAATGGAGAAAAGGAATGCTGCATTAAAAAAATGGAGATGAAGCCCATAGAACTTCAGCTCTGTCTTCTGTTTATATTTGTTTATGTTTCTGCATTTAGACTCTTTTATCCAAAGCGACTTACAAAGTAGACACAATATTACAGTTATCATCGATTTGGCAATAACTTTTCTATGGGAAAATCCCTAGTTGGAGTCAGTGGTGACAGCAAATAGATAGAGGGAAGTACAGAAAGAGTAGTATGGGGGTATAGAGGTATGGGGAAGAGTTAGGATAGGAGATGCTCTTTGAAGAGGTGGGTCTTTAGGAGTTTCCTGAAGATAGACAGGTAGGATGCTATACTTGTAGCACTCGATTGGTCTAGTTCTTCACGTATACCGTCATGAAAACAACAACTAACTAAATAGACACTATTCCGTCTATTTCTACTCACCCATTTGTATGCTGGACAGAAGCGATACGGCGCCCACCACATGAAAGGACTCCATGCCTTGTTATTAGTGCCCTATTTCTCACAGCCTGCTCGGGAGTCAGTCAACTTAACATTACAGAACCACGTACTTCCTGGGATAAAGAAACTCTGGGCCATCCCACAAAACGTGCGGACATGTTAGTGCAGTTCAAATCTTGCCCTGTCCTGCCCAGCGATGATTGCTTTAACTAAACAATAAATGTTGTTTATGTACTTCTACTTTGGTTAATTCTCAGGTTTCCAATTAAAGAATCGGGTTAACAGAAGAATGGGACTTGATCTTTGCTGTTACAGATGTAGACTACCTTTGTGAAAGAGGAGATTCTGGGAAATCCTGAGTAATAATAATTTAAGGCTAAAAATAAGACACATATATATATATGTCTTATTTTTTACCTTAAATTATTCATCACATAAAAGTTATTTCCATATGAAAGACCTCCTTCTCGGTCTGAAGCTTTCACAGGACTCCTGTTGTCTGAAAGTGAACCACATGATCTCTCAGTCACAATTCCCACCCATTTGTTCATGAAAACCTACAAAAAAACCCTTAAAGAGCTGAAGATTAGTTTTAAAAGGCGTGTCAAACTCCAAACTAATAGACTCAATGTGCTCTCGACGCGCAGGCCCGAAAAGTTCAAAATATTCAAACATCAGGGAAATATCTCAACTAATCCCACTTGATGGATTCAATCATATGGGTGGTGGGGTTCCAAAGCAGGGGGGGGGGCGACAATTCGGATGAACTCAGTGATATAAATACACTGGCGTTTGCCTCGTGCGTGTGGTTTTCGTGTGCGCGTCCCCCGGGCGGAGGGTGGCACCCGGCGCACTGAGCGGGGGGAGTCTGGAGCCGTGCGCCGCCTGGCAGCCTCCACGCGCCATGGAGAGCGACGACGAGAACGCGGAGGAGGTCGTGGAAGGTTTGTTGTGGGCGCACCTCCAAGAAAATACAAACAAACAAAAAACTGTCAGCTCGCACGATCTGCCAGACTAGAGATTCGATCCGGTTCGTTTTTTTACAATCAAATCTCGCTCCGAACCTCCCGACCGGGTTCGTGGAAAGGCCCGTCCTGGAGCTCGGACCGCCAGGGGCTTTATTTGAGAGAGGGATCCGCTTATGGAGGCGCGCGAGGCGGCTGCGGGGGGATCTGGGTGCCGCTCTGGCTGATGGATGGGTTTAGGACGCGCGTTTTAAAGGGCGGATCGAGTTTGAGGCCGTTTGTTTTTTATGGCAGGCGAGCTTCGCCTCGTTGTCGCGTTTCCTCAAGTGAATGCTGAGGGAGGACTGGTCGTGAAGCTCAGCGTGCTGTGCGTGTGTGTGTATTTCAGTGTAACAGGTGAGGCGCGATCAGCTGAGCGTTGTTCCACAAACAAAGACCTGCGGGCTGCTGCAGCCACGTGGGGATGACCACTGTCCCCTAACCTTTTTTTTATCAGGGTTGGTCTTCAGCAGACCAATCCCAGCTGAAAAGAAGAGGAAAGTTAAATCATTCTAGTACACTGATCAGATTTCTGCTGGGTGTGTGTGTGTGTGTGTGTGCTGCATGAGGGAGCACATGCAGTACTGACCATTCCACCCCCCTCCCCTGAACATGTCCATTTGTAAAACAAAAAACGGATGTTTCCAGTGGGTGATGCAATGCTTCCGCCCTGTGCTTGTTTCCGGTACAACAGCGTGGTGGCTTTGTCTGCCGGATGAGTTGTTTTCATACAGACCTCACTGACCGTCCAGTAGCAGCTACAGCGTCTCACACATGAGCCAATGGTCTGAGATGACCATCGGCTCATGCGTGCTGTCATCTCAGAGCCCGAGGGACATTGTTGCCCTTCAATAGGGATGTAACAATTTGCGTCCATACATGGTGTATTTGTAACTCGCACCAGTGACCACGTGTGTGTGTTTTTTTTTGTATGTGCATACAGATGCGTTATTGTATCATTAGATTTGTCGATCTAATTGCTTTTTCAAATCACCAGTGGAACTGGGTCAGTGTGGGTGTGGAAAAGATGGCGTACAGGTTAAGGGAACACGGCACAAGACTGGGGTGAACGCCCAGGTTTGATGCTTCTCTGAGGTTTGTGCATGGGCATTGGAACATTTAAGCTCTTTTAAACGCGCACCGTACATTGAAACGTCCTGGATCAGGTCTCGCCCTCCACAGCCAGAAGATACATAGACACGGAGTTCCAGGAATGTGGGCTACTTTACAAAAAACAAAGATTCTGGAATACAAGATATTGACGTGAATTCAGATAGCAGACTGAATTATTCAGACTCTCATAATTCGCGTGGCTTATTGACCAGTGTGTGTGTGTGTGTGTGTGTCCAGGCCCAGTGGATGAGGATGGTCAGCCCCACGGTTTCTGCACAGTCACCTACTCGTCAAGCGACCGCTTCGAGGGGCACTTCACCCACGGAGAGAAAAACGGCAAGGGCAAGTTCTTCTTCTTTGATGGAAGGTACAGTAAGCATACAAGGTTGTGTGGGTGTTCATGCGACATGCCAATACACAACGAAATGTTGGGTTTAACCCTGGTAATGTTTGGATGAGTGGCAGGAAAGCGGTTGGAGCTGCCTAGCTAGTCACCATTTCCTGGGCCAGGCAGCCAAACGGATCCATTTTAGTAGCAACCATGTTACACCAGGGTGTTTCTGCAAACGGTTTTTAAGTCGTGACCTGTACAACGCTGTTGTAACTGTACAAAAATACTGTACACAATTACCTCACAGCAGTTCATTTAGAATGACAGAATCTCCGAAAAATCCATGCCATTCTCATGCTGCAGGGCATTGAGTGGTGATATTTAAAGAACGCATTCATAGACCACACCTCGCCAAATATTCCAGAGTATGTAATTTCCTGTGGAGCTTTAGGATGGGAAAAATACACACCTTTTTTTCCCCCAGTGTGTATTTCTGACACAGCCTCTAATCCTCTGCAATCCCAGAACATCCATCCATCGTAACTGGAGCCTATCCCGGTAGTCAATGGGTGAGAGGCGGGGTACACCCTGGACGGTCTGCCAGTCCATCGCAGGACCACACAGAGACACTCAACCATACACACTCAATCCTAAGGGCAATCTGGAATGTCCATTCAACTTAACAAGCAGTTGTTTGGTTGGTGGGAGCTAGCCAGAGATCCCACACAGACACAGGGAGAACAGGTTTCCCTGGGACTCGAACCCAGAACCTACTTGCTGGGTTGTCCCCCCTGGGACTCAAACCTAATACCCTCTTACTGTGTTCCAGCTGGGACTCGAACCCAGAACCCTCTTGCTGTGTTCCCCCCTGGGACTCGAATCCAGAACCCTCTTGCTATGAGGCGATGGTGCCAACCCCCACACCACCGTGCCACCCACCCCAGAACATAACCAGACTAAAGTGTCAATGTGGACCAGTCCTTCAGCCATACAAGGATTGTGCGTGTGTGTGTGTACTTGCTTTAACTTGAACTCCTGTGCTTTTCCTCTGTCTGCAGTACCTTAGAGGGCTTCTATGTAGACGATGCCTTGCTGGGGCAGGGGGTGTACACGTATGAAGATGGGGGTTACCTCCTCGGAACCTATGTGGACGGTGAGCTCAACGGGCCTGCTCAGGAGTTCGATGCGGAGGGACGTCTCGCCTTCAAGGGCCAGTACAAAGACAACAGCCGCTGCGGGGAATGCTGGGTGTACTACCCCGTGAGTCACCGATCGCTGCTGCCCTAAGGCTTTCTTCACAAGCGCTAGAATTCGCACGGGTCAAAGGAAAGGAGACTTACGTTTCTGCATGCCGTGTGCTTGCGGTGCGTCTAGGACGGGGGCTGCGTGTTCGGGGAGGTGAACGAGGACGGGGAGCTGACCGGAGACTCGGTGGCCTACATCTACCCCGACGGCCACACGGCCCTCCGCGGAAGCTTCGTGGACGGGGAGTTGATCGAGGCTCGCCTGGCCAGTCATATCTCCAAAGCAGCCGAAAGGCCGCGCTTCGAGTTCGCACCAAAAAGTACGTGACCAGCTAAATGTTCCATCTGCTGTATTTATGTTCAGTTTATGCTGACATCAGTCGTCTCCTGCGTGTATCAGTCGATGTCCACTTACACTTATTATATAATCCTCTGGGTTCTGGCCACTCTTCTAGAGAAAGCCCCCATCAGGCACAGTTCAAAGGTCATGCAGGCCTCCATTCGTCATAAACTATGTGTAAAGCCTTTGTGTTTTAGTAAGTGTCCTCTCTTCCAGCCAGCATCTGGAGCAGTGGCTGTTTTAGGTGAGGCGACAGGGATTGAATTATCAGTGACTTGTCTCCTAATATCACCAGATTTGTATAGTTTTTAAATAGCTTTATGATCCCTCTCAGATTGATGGGAAGTTACAACTTCTTTTAGAAGATTGCTTCTCTGGCATCGTTTGTGTTAATGCGTGATTCTTGTTCCATTATTAGTCACAGGTTGTGATATGTCATAAGATGTTCTTCTGGGGGGTTTTCCCTCATTTTGATGAGTAGAGCTGTAGGAAAGAGTAATTTATCTCGTGGTGTTTGTGTCCTGGAAATGGTTTTGTTGTGGTCTGATTTTATTGATTGATCATCGATTTGATTTTTTTCTTTGATTAATTTATTTTTATTATCTTTTTAGCAGACAGGCACACTGTTTTTTTTTACAGTGCTTCAAAGTGTCCTAGATTGTCCCTTATGGTAAAGTTTCTTCTAAATTAAAGGGTAGATATGGCACTTTTCAGATACTGTGAATGATACAGGATTATTTCAAATATCCATCACTGAAAGTCAGTAGCCTTAATTAGCTAAAACAAACATGTTTGATTGTGTCCGCTGGACATTAAAGCCTTGCTGGGTTTAAATCGCACATTGGTTTGATCTCCCACTAATAGCACCATGTGTTTTACTCGGAATGTCCTCGACGTGATGATTTCTATTATTAAAAACGAAAACAAACCTGAAGAATAAGGTGACCTGGTGTCGTTTGAAGGTCCTGTGTACTCCTATGACAAGTCCACGTCCACCTGTATTACGTCCCATGCTCTGCTCGCTGACCCCTATGAGAGCCAGAGGTAGGCCCACTCAGCTAGCATTTGCTTTTTCTTGAGTTTTCTTGACCCGCAGCTCACGTGCCAGCGTGTGTTTTGTGTCCGCACCAGAGTGTTCGTGGCGGACTCTACCATCACCGGGGCGGGACAGGGCCTGTTCGCCAAGTCGGACGCCGCGCCCGGCACCGTGATGGCCTTCTACAATGGAGTCCGCATCACTCACTCTGAGGTACAACGGCCACAGCACGAGGAAAGCAGCAGACCTTTTCCGATCTGGGACGGTCTTTGGGTGACTCTATAAATTCCGTGTCTCTGTTCTCCACGTTTCCTTGTCTCAGCATAGCTGATTCAGAGGAAATGGGTCAGTGTTTCGTGTTCTGCATGAAGCTGGTGAGGACCCATTCCCTTGAGTTACGTGGGCCGTAGCAGAAATTAGAACCAAGGCCTCGGAACTGGGAAATGTCAGGCTGCTGACTTTAAATGGAAATGAAACAATTCTTTTAAACATCCAATTGTTTTTGTGGCAGTATGAAATTTGTCCTCTAAATGTGACAAAAGTAATTGTGAAAATGTGTCTCTTTTAACACTGTTCCAAACACTGCTGCTGTCCGTGGTGGACGGCGTTGTAAAAAAAATGTGTCTGGTCCCATTTAGACTTTCAGAGTAACATCAGCTTTTGGAAACTCTTCCCCCCTTTTTATCACTTGTGACACCACTGGCCGAAGATCTAGTTTCCAGGGAGAGCCATTATATTTTCTCATGGTGTGCAGCAGTTCTTCGTTGGGGGGACGGCACCCGAGAACAGCTCTCCTTTTCTTTCCGTTAATACTCGCCTAGCAACTTTAGGATCTCACATGGAGGCTCTGAAACAAACAGCCTGGAAGGCAGAGGTCACCCCTTAATGCTATGAGGACAACCACTCGTCTTCTGGCTGAACAAAAGGAATCAGCCAGTGTGTAAGGTGTTTAAACCAGGCCCGGTGCCAGGACTTCAGCTCTGGATGGGCCAAAGTCATTTAGGGCAGGCCATGAAATGAACAGAATATAATAGAAAATAGAATAGAATAGTCCTTCCTCACCACTACTTTCCGTTTAAACCTCCTTACAACTTTGATTTCATTTCAACACACGGAGTTTCAAAATAAACCTTTTCATATTGAAAGATGGGCAAAATAAAAGCCAGGAATACTTCCAGAAACAATCCAGAATGCAGCAGATCAAAAGAATCAGTTTGAAACAAGAGTGCATCATATTAATTCCATCTTTCTGTTCCCGTGTGTATTTCACAGGAGTAATCAGCCATTAAACATCAATGATGTCATCAAATGTGTCTTAAGAAGGTTTTACCTAGTTTTCAAATGTTTTTATTGATGATGATTACCAAAACCTGGGTCTTTTGTAGCGGTAGGTTAGGCCCAGTCATGGCAGCATGTAAGTTCCAGATTGCCCCCCATGGTGGCGTCCTGGGCCTTTGAGGCTGAATGAACATGCAGTCCTTTTTTGGTTTTTGGGATGCTCTGCTTTAGGTGGACAGCCGGGACTGGGCGCTGAATGGAAACACCATCTCTCTGGACGAAGACACGGTGATCGACGTGCCTCGGCCCTTTGACCAGATGGAGAGGTACTGCGCCTCGCTGGGGCACAAGGCCAACCACTCCTTCACCCCCAACTGCAAATATGATCCGTGAGTAGCGTGTGGCTCCGCATTCCCGCTCTGACCATCTCTGTTTGTGGATATAGCTATAATACTGTTCATATTATACATGTAGCTGTAAACCTTTTGAATCACACAGCTGGGTGGACTTTGGAGCTTCCTCTTTTTGATCAGGGAGCTCCACAGACTGACCAATGAGCTGCTCCTGGTTATGTTGATCCTGATGCTGTTTCCTAAATGCATAACTGATAGGAATGTTTAAAGCATCTGTTCAGAGAATTTCACATTCTTTGAAGTGAATCTCAGCCTGGTTCCACTTTCTAGAAAGGATCCTACTTATTAGAATTACAATGTAACGGTTAGCGGCTGGGCGGTGTGGTGGTCAGAACCATCGCTTCACAGCAAGAAGGTCCTGGGTTCAAATCCCAGGGGGAACCAGGACATTTCTGTGTGGAGTCTGCATGTTCTCCCTGTGTCTGTGTGGGTTCTCTCCAGGTTCTCCGGCTTCCTCCCACCGTCCAAAAACCTGCATGTTAGCATGATTGGACATTCCAAATTGCCCTTAGGGAGTGTGTATGGTTGTTTGTCCTTGTGTGTCTCTGTGTGACCCTGCGATGGACTGGTTGAACTGTCCAAGGTGTACTCCGCCTCTTGTCCATTGACTACTGGGGTAGGCTCCAGTCCCCCCGCAACCCCATTGGGGAATAAGCGGTTATGAAAATGGATGGATGGTAAGCAGCTTATTTTTAGAATAGACTCGTGCGCACAAACCGAGATGGCTTCAACCATAGGGTGCAAACTCTCTGCCCCCCTGGGTTTTGAACCAGTCAGATGGCCTGCTGAGGGCCAAGGAGGGGTCGGCCTGAAACTTGGAGAGACTCTCTAGTAGTAATTTCCGTTTGTCTCTTTGTTTCGGGCAGGTTCGTCCACCCACGTTTTGGGCCGATCAAGTGCATCCGGACGCTGATGGCGGTGCAGAAAGACGAGGAGCTCACCGTCGCCTACGGGTATGACCACGAGGGAAAAAGTGGCCCCGAGGCTCCCGATTGGTACAAGCAAGAGCTGAAGCTGTTCCAGCTGAGCCAGGAACAGCCTACAGGCCAGTGAGAGGCGATATCTCCCGATGTCCCCGGATATCCCCTGCTGCTGGCCATGGAGGCCTCCATTCTACCAGAGTAACATGAGAACTATGCAAAAAAACTAAACCACATGACAGCGTTTGCTACCTTCATTACCTATAGTATTTTTTTAGGTTCACGTGGTCATTACAAATGATGTTAGATTCAGGCTTTGATGGACAAACCACTACCAATAGTCTTTCCACAGCCCAGGTGTCTTCCATCTGTTCAAATCTGTTGAACTGAAATTGGTCAAATTTACTACTGCACGGTATTTATGTTTTCCAGGCTTTGTAAAGTGCATTTGTAATTTAAGGACTGGAGGAACGTTACAGCATATTCCACATCTTGATTACCTGCGTTTTGTAGGCCCTGAAGAATAAATGTCCCCTGACTCAACTAAGTACCTGCCTCGTTCATCTCACCATGCGGAGAGACCTTTTTTTAGACCACCAATTCACGTCTGCTCGTTCATTTATTTAGCTCTTTGTGTTTGGATTTAGAGCCCGAAACAGGATCGGGAAATACTTAAGCAGAGGCTGTTGACGGACGTTTTTTTTGGGGCTTAAGGAAGAACGGAAGGAAATATATTTGTGATAAGAAAAACAGTCTGGGTCATTTAGTTATTTCCATGGTATTTTAGTAATAGTCTGCCACAGATACAAATGAACAACTTTCAGTTCAATCAGTTTGCAAATATAATCTTGTTAAAAAATTACAAAGTGTACAGTGTTCCACTCAGGGCGGGGAACAGACCTATAAAAAGAAAAATAAGGTATTGCTTCTCATCAGTAATCAGTCTTCAGGGTTATTCATTCTTCTCTCATTTATCATTTAGTGCAGTGAGCTCATCAGTTCTTCACATAATCATCATATCTGAACAATATTACCATTTTGTATAAATGGATGCATCCAGAAAGGGACGGAGGTGGAATACTGTGAAACGCATGCCGTAAAAAAACGGGAATACAGAAGGTACTCAGTCTGTTAAAAACGGCCCTAACTCAAGCGTCAGGGATCACACACTAGTAGACACACTGCACAAAAATCATCATTTCCCCATGTGGACGCAGGAAGTCTGGAGGCTCACACGGTGACTGTGCTCGCATGCTTCCGCTCACGTCTCAGACGGTCTTCTCTCAGAGGAGATCTCGACCGGCACTTCTCTGTTGGTGATTGAAGGCATCTGTGCAGCCGGCGGCCCCTCGGCTCGCTGGGCCTCGGCCTCTTATGTTAGTGCAGGTTTGGATACTTCTGGCAAAATCTGTTAAATGCGTCGTAGATGGCTTGTCTGGAAAGAAGACACAGAACACTTTTTTTTTTTAAATGATAAAGCAACAGAAGACAGATAGGCTCATTTCCATCCATCCATTATCGTACACCGCTTATTCCCTAATGGGGTCACGGGGGGGCTGGAGGCTATCCCAGTAGTAGATGGGCGAGAGGCGGGGTCATCCTGGACGGTCCACCAGTCCATCGCAGGGTCACACAGAGACACACAAGGACCAACAACCACTCACACTCACTCCTAAGGGCAATTTGGAATGTCCCATCAAGTCCCAGGTGGAACACAGCAAGAACGTTCTTGGGTTCGTGTCCCCAGGGGAACCAGGACCTTTCTGTGTGAGGTTCATGTTTTCCCTGTGTCTGTGTAGGTTCTCTCCCGGTTCTCCCGCTTCCTCCCACCATCCAAAAACCTGCATGTTAGCATGATTGGACATTCCAAATAGCCCTTAGGAGTGAGTGAGAGTGTGCATACTTGTTTGTCCTTGTGTGTCTCTGTGTGGCCCTGTGAATGTGGACCGACCGGGTAGTCTCCAGACCCTCAGTGACCTGCTTATCAGGGAATAAGCAGTTATGATAATGGATTGATGGATGGACTCTTTTCAAGATGGAAGTATTAGATCTGAAGATCTGAAGTGATACAGCAGAGGGAATCAACAGTGTTTCAGGTAGGAACTTTCAAAATGAGTCAGGGTAGTCTGGATTACCTGAAGACATTCTGTTTAAACAGGTACGCGCTGATGTGTCCTCCATTCAGGTATCTGATCTCACACCCAGGCCAGATCTCCTGCAGACCCAGGACCCCTGCACGAGGAATGTACGCATCCTCTTTGGCCTGGACCACAACGATGAGGCCTGTGTCTACAGGGACTAGGGCAGATGGGGGGAGGGGGGGCATATTAAGTATGTGTAGATGTTACCAATCTGACAGATTCTACACAAGCATTTTTAGCTACACCATATTTCTATTTTTAAAAGTGACTTAGAACTTCTTGTACAATTCCAATTTCTTGGTAATATTTAACTAATAATATAAAATGATTTTTTTTTTTTTTAACTCCCACTTGTAATTTACCTTTATTTATTTTGTTGTATTGTAAAAACCCCTTATTACAAATGCACTTTATTTATTTATCTATTTATTTATGCCTCCACTGTACTTGTGCTTTTTCCTGCTGTAATGTGTAACTTTCCCCACTTCGATAAAGTATTCTATTCTATTGAGCAACACAAAAAGTGACTTTCCATTACACAAAGTTAAGAAAGGAATCTACCGTTGGCTGAAAGAAACGAGTAGGTCCCTCAAAACCACACAATGCTACCCAGTTTATGCACTGTTTACTGGGACGTTTTGTGCAAACGTCCAAATCATTTGTATCCTTTAAGCTTCTGGTCCAAAAGTAGAGTAGCCGTCGCCCCTAGCAACGCAGCATCCTTTCAGCGCTGCCAGGTTTGTGCGTGCCTACAGACTGCAGTAGTGCTAGTAGTAGTAATTTGTTGAATTGTAATTGGCTTTACTCGGGACTGTACGATTTGAAAATAAAACCTGAGTCCTTCGTGATTTTTTTGGGCCATTGCTTGGCTTCTAACCTACCAGAGAAGTTGGCCATGTGTGTGCATTCATCCATCACTCCCTTCATGAAGCTTATGGATTCCAAGTGCAGCGACGGCCGGCAGCATTTGGCTGAAACGCTCCGTTTCCCATGTTGTGCACTATATTGATAAGAAAAAAGCAAAAGGAGAGAGGAAAGTGGTAAAAATTCAACCGAAATAAAAAGTCAAACAAAAAAGACAATTACAGCAGAAAGAAAAGAAATAAGTGAAAATGACAACAGTGGGGAAAAAGTGAGCCTTTTTTTCTGAATCGATCCAAAGCACAGTACCTGGTGCTTCTGCTGGTTCGACAGGTCAAAGTTAACCTGAAGGAACATCCATGGATAAACACTTGGAAAAGCCTTTAGATTACCTCGTTAGGGGGTCTGAGTTTGGTCCGCTCCTGTTCGCCGATGACACAAAGTGATCCCCGTCTCCAGCCCTGACCCTCTGGAGGCCTCCACTCATTTCCGACTTCTCTTTTGCCTCGACGTGCTGATGCAACGACATCCTCACATCTTCAGGTAAACCGAAGAGGCGGCCTAAAGTGCCTTCATTCCTCAGGTGCTCCATCTTAAAGGAATCGGCCTAAAGGATGAGAACACAAAACAAAAGATAGATATAATAGATGTATTACATGAAATCCAGAAACATCCAATTGTAAAGATGGGTAGATGGATGGATGGATATGTACATTTCTACGGATTGATTATGGGTGGATGGATAAAAACATACCCCGCAGTACTCCAGTAGCTTTATGATCTCATTTTCATACACTGAATTCACAGCATACTGCTTCTCCAGCTCGCTCCAGTTCACCGCTCGACTCAGCACACCCTGTGTACACACACACACACACACACACACACTGGACGGTTCGGCCATCATTTCTTGGTAGGTAACACATCCTGGGCTAAAAAAAAAAGAGCATTACCGTCGTGAACACGCTAGAAGCAGTGGACCAGGATAAACAAGGAATTAAGGGAATGGGTTTGGGCCAGTTGGTAACCGCTAAGGACGCCATCTAGACAAAAAAGGCACACAAACAAAAAGAAAAAAAAAGTTGAATCAAACTTCTGATGTTTGGACAGGAAAAAATAACATGTATTCTTATATATTAAAAATACTTAAATATCTAATTAAAATGGCTCATTACAGAAAAATACAGGTCTACTGCATAAAAATACACATCTATCCTAGAAATGTACATGTAAACATGCATATCCATAACAGAAAAGTGCATGTCCATTAGACATATGGACTTTTGGGGAAATGCACGTGTCCATTTACATGGTCAGCACTGGTCTACCGGCCACGTGGGACTTACATATCCTCCCATGGAGATGCCAGTCATTCCAAGTGGCCAGTATCCTTCTCTCTCTAGCCAGCGGAGGAGGACTGTGGACTCCAGGATCAAAGCCCCCCCCATCACAAACAGGTCGGACACATTCTTCAGGCTGGACCGCCTGAAACATTGAAAAGAAGGGGCTGATGACTAGGAAAGCCCTTAGTCCCCACATTGTGCTGACACAGGCAAGTATTAGAGCCACCCTGATTTATTTATTGTTTGTTTTTTACCAGAGGTTTCTGTCTTTTATTAAACCTTTGATTACCTAAACTTTTGATTAAACCTAAGAAAAAGGCGATCCTTTTTCGTTTGAGATAGTTCGTTATTTGGGATGTGATTCTCTGTTAATTCAGTGAAACATGGGTTTCTCTTAAAAACCCACATTAATATTACAGTTTGAGTGTGTTAGCTGTGGGCACATCTATCAGAAAATGTGCACAACTTAATGCAAAAGATTTATCTCTGTGCTGTTTGACCAGCATTCAAAGACACAGGCGTTGCTGATTAGCCTTAGAATTACAGAACCAATCAAAACTTTGGATGGACCAAGTCAGGCGGGAGTTCTTCCTCATTATGCCTGTTTTCTATGGCGCGATAAAAAGAAATGTAGATACAGGCTTTGAATTTTAAAGAAAGACTGTTTATCAAATCAAATTATATCACTAATAATCATAAATCTATAAAAGCTTTTTTAGTTTTAATAGGAGAAAATAATCCAAATAAAGTAAAGCCTACGTATGAGAAAGCTATTAAGTTCCATTAAAAAGAAAACTATGCTTTTAATCCATTTTACCAACAGAATCATATTCAAATTAGTGTTTCTAGCTTTGTTTTAGAAGACACCGCTGTACTTACACCAAATGGCATCAGTAAAACGATTTGCCATAAAAGAACTGAGAACATCAACAGGAGCTTTGTGTCTGCATCTCTCTGCTGTGGTGTAGTGCCGAGTGTGTGTGTGGGGGGGGGGGGCTCACTTACAGTTGGTCTTTGGGCTTGCGATAGCCATGTGAGATGCCAGTCAAGGAACAGCAACGTGGTCACACAGAACATTTCACAGAAACGCACAAGTCTCTCTGCACAGGGTGGGATTTGAACCTAGCACGCGTGGTCTTTCTGATTTCCCATTAATGAGCATTCTCAGCTTACGGCAGGGTCAAGAAATTAAAAAGGTTCACTTAAAGGTACACGGTGTAGAAGTTTCTCCCATCTAATGGTGAAATTGTATTTAGCATTCTCAAAAATCTTGCTCTCTAGTGCCTCGTGTTTTCAAATGGGTATTACAGCTACGGTAGCCGTCATGCATCAACAAGTAATGACAACATGGCTTCCACATCATCCAGTTTTTTCTTTGAATGCGTGCAGCTATTCAAATAGTGGCTGAATTTACACGCTAGAAAGATGGATGCATTTCATGTAGTCGAGCTATGAAATAAAAACACATTTACAAAACAATAAGGAAAATCAGATGCTGAAAAAAAAAAAGGAAGGATATAATAAGGATTTTCCAGAAGCAGTGAAGCCATTCCTGCCTCTTTGATCATGGGCCTGGCCATCAGGGTCCGCCGACGCCAGAAAAACTAAACGCACAGGTCAGAGAAAAGATTAGATCGGGGTTTTATTAGGTTTTATTATCGGCTGTGGGGTTCAAATCCGCCGGCATAGTAATAAACCGGTGTAATGCGGTCATAAGCAGACGCCGTCTCTACGTTTAAGAGTAGGCTTAAGACTTTCCTCTTTAATAAGGCTTATAGTTAGGGCTGGTTTAGGTGAGTCCACCCTTAGTTTTGCTAAGGCTATAGGCCTAGACTGCTGGGGGATTTCCTATGATGCACAGAGCCCCCCTCTCCTCTTCTTTCTCTCCCTCTCAGTGCAACCTCATGGGCATTACTAACTGGACTCTTTCCCTTTCTCGTAGTCGTGTGCGTTCTCCTCCCATCTCCTCTCTCCTTCTATCTCTTCCTGCAGGTGTTCCTGACGGGAGCTGTGGAGTCTGGATCTGTATTTGGGAGTCTCCTCTTGCTCAAGGTTTCTGCCTCTTAAAAATAAGTTTTTCCTTGCCTGTGTCACCTAGTGCTTACTCTTGGTGGGAATTGTTGGGTTTCTGTAAATAACTTCAGAGTCCAGTCTGACCTGCTCTGTTTGGAAAGTCCAGTGAGATAACTGCTGTTGTGATTTGGCGCTATGTGAATACAGTTTAAATGAAATTGAACTGAATAGTCCTTCAATCTTGCAGTAAACATGTCTTACTTTTGAATGCAAAATATCACATTCGGACATTATCTTAGGCTCTGTACTAATGGCCGTGATGAATGCGGTGCAGTTGGAGGACAGTCTGAGTCTACAACTGAAAGAGCCTTACGTGGTCTCCTGTCCCAGCCAACTGGATGCATACTGGTCTGTTCTTCTTCCACCGCTTAGGGACTATAAACTGGAACCTGGAACGACACAGACGCATCCCGTGGTATGAGTTAGAACTTCTACTAATTCCCCAGAAGTGACCGTGGTTGGTCATAGTGTTGTTTGATCCATTTGGTTTCCTGTATCTAATGCGATCGCCAGCTCCGCTGTGCAGTTGGTTTATTATCTGAATAAATACCAAACACATTTAGGCCCTAAAAAACATTTTAAAAAAACATTCATATATACAGCCGCAAAAGTTTCAAATGGGATTTTTTGGTTTATTCATTTAACATGAGAACATCTCCCTACTTTTTAAAGGACAACAACCAGCCTGAGGTGATCTTGGAAGCTTCTCTTGTGGTAAAACATCGATATCCCAGATAACTGATATTGGGTTGGACGTTCCTGGGCAGGGGAAGATCCAATTTCTTCTGTTCTCAGGAGGAGGCTGTCCTCTTTTTCCCAAGTTACTAAAAAGTCTCACTAATGCATGTAGAGATAAGGCCAGATGAGGATGATGGGAAAGGGCTGTGCCGTGCTCAGAGGTTCCTTTAGTTCCTCAGTAAGGACCTGCACAAACACTGGTAGCTGCCCAAAGACCTTCACAAAGACAGTTCACTACCTGTAGGCTTTGCTCATGTTCAGTTTAGAGATCCCCGCCAGTGCTGCTATGAATTCACTTTGGAAATCTACAAGGTAGCACTCTAAATAGTCAGAGATTCTGAGACTGTACCTGGCCTTGACTGCCTCAGGTGGCAAGATTCCGGGCACCAAGTGCTCAAGAGGAGACGTGAAGTAGCCATCGTGGATGAAGCAGTCAGTCAGCTCCTCTGTCTGGACACAGGGGGGTAAAAAGCATGAGAGGGGAAGAAAACAAAATGCCACCACGCGGCGAGGAGAGGCCAGACCTTGTTGATGTAGACCGGGTAGTCCTTAGGCACCAGAGTCCTGCACCGTTCTCTGTCTGCGATGATCTTACGAAACTCAAAGATTCTGCAAAACACAAATGAGGAGGAGATGTTAACGATTCGACGGCCTTATACGGGGTGGAACGGTGGTGTGGTGGTCAGCACCATCGCCTCACAGCAAGAAGGTTCTGGGTTCAAATCCCGAGGGGAACATTTCTTTTGTAGTCTGCATATTCTCCCTGTGTCTGTTCTCTCAAGGTTCTCTGGTTTCCTCCCACTGTCCAAAAACCTGCAGGCTAGCTTGATTGGACATTCCAAATTGCCCTTAGGAGTGAGTATGAGTGGTAGTTTGTCCTTGTGTGTCTCTGTGTAGCCCTCCGATGGACTGGTGGTACGGCCAGGGTGTACCCCGCCTCTCGCCCATTGACTACTCGGATAGGCTCCAGTACCCCCGCGACCCCATTAGGGAATAAGCGGTTACGGTTACGATGGATGGACGGTTACGATAATGGATGGATTGATGGACGGCTTCAGCCGAAAAACAGACTCCACCTATCAACCCGTCACCATAGTAACCCAAAAGAATCGTCCCCCAAGTACTCTTCAGTCGGCATTAGAGGACACGGGGTCATTTCCCGTCCTCCATCCAGTCTGCAGTACCTTTTGAGGTCTTCAGGCTTCCCCCATCCCCCAATGAAGAGTTTGGTGAGGAGCAACCTTCTGTAGACCACGTCCAGCCGACTCACCCCCATGGGCCAGCCCTCGCATCTGCAGACAGAAGCACGCAGGAGATGAGAAGGTGGGGGGGGGACACCAAGAACTTAGAACCAGGCGGTCACTTTTGTTCCAGTAGCAGCTGAACAGGTTCAGGAGCCAAAGCAGCGTCGTTTCATGTAAAAAGATAAAGCTAAAAATAGTGACTATGGAACTAATGACTTATTGCCTGAGGCTTCAAAAAGACATATTAGTCAACAGATGGAAACCGGCTGTGACCGTACTAATGCAGTAAAATTTTCATTATTTTGATCTTTTTTTTTTAAATGTATTGTTTTCTTTTACTTGTTTATCTCTATTGATTTATTCCTCATATATATATTATATTTTTCTCTTAAATTAATTTATTTTTTTATTTTTTTATTTCACTAATTTATCTTAATTTACAATGCTTATCAATTTACCACTTATGTCTAAGTTTGTATGTTACTCCTAATCATGTAACCTTCTTTACTTATAAGTTTAACCTGATGCATATCATTTTAAAGTTGCTTTAAGTATTTGTCAGTGAAGAGCAGCAGACTAAATGTGGGCTTGTATGTAGACGTCTATGTAAGTTGTAAAAATTGACATAAAAACAAAGTTACAAAAAAGCTGACAACTATTAAAATAAGAGCCCTTATTAATCAATCAGAAATTAAGCTTTTACACCAGTATTTGACTGTTCTCAAACCAGAGGTTGGACTGAATCCCTTTAGACTTCATCAGTAATGTTAAGAGAAGCCCCCATCCAGTTGGGACCCGGGAGCGCTGGTCTGTGGGAGCCTGGCAGACTAAAGCGACCCCAGTGAGGAGTGTGGGGGTCTCCTCAAAGTGTGGGGGTCTGATGAAGGTCTGTCTCTCATCGATAAGGCCTGAAGCAGAGCCCACCCCTCAGCCAGCTGCCTCCGTAGATCCACAAAGTTTGTCAGAGCCCAGAGCAGCTGTCAGGCTCTGCCTCACACATCTGTTTCCTACCTCACTGACAGTGGAGAAATGTGTTTGTTTAGCTTCCAAAACACCAGAGCTTCAGTCAGCTGCAACAACACAGCCCCATTATTCACAACCCAGCACATTCTGGACCTGAGGCCCACCGGCCCAGCAGAGGAAGAGGCCACTGGAAGCCAGGGACACCCGGACCAGGGGCAAACCGGGCCCGGGGGCACACCCGGCCCAGGGGCACCCTCAGCCCCAGCCGGCCCGGAGGCACCCCGGCCCGGGGGAACCCGTCCCCACCCGGCCCAGGGGCACCCCGACCCGGGCAGGTCGACAGGTCACCGGGGCTCGCGGACAGCCATTAGACAGCCAGCTGTGCGCTGCTGTTCGAAGTCAAGCCCCAACTCAGTATGGAGTCGTCCGACCATCCGAATAGCCTCAGACGACGACGACACACACGCGCACGCAGACTAAGGTGGAAACAGAAAGCCACCCTACCTCAGGAAGCACGAGCACGTTGGGTTTCCTCTCCGCTTTTTCAACTTTCAACCTTGTAGCTCTGCTCCGGAGAGGGCAATGAATCGAGCGGGCAGTGCGCATGCGCCAACGGTTTACGGCTCTTTGCGGCGCGACCGAGTGTGTCTGTGCGCGCGTGTTCGCACGTGTGCCTGCGGACGTGTACGCGTGCGTACGCGTGTAGGGAGGCCAGGCGTGTGTGTGTATGACAGTGTTGTAAACTTTATCTCCAACTAAAGTCTACAACGTTAACACACCGTCAGGGTTTGTTTTTTTTATTTCAAAACTTTATTGGCATGGGAACAAGTTACAGAAACGACACTAAAACAGCTCTTTAAAAAGCTGTTTAAAAAATCGAGATTTAAAATACATATCTGTGGAAATAACAATGTGTCTGTAACACAATCAGGTCAGAACAAAACTGACAGAGAAAAGGAGGCCGGGGGAAAGACATAAAGGAGGCAGAAGACCTGTGTGGTCATCAGATTGTTTTATGAGGGCTCCAGACCAGCAACGTTTTCAAGACCTTTGCATTTTGAAACTCCACATAAAAATTAAGGCCTCCATTTTTACAATTTACAATTAGACATTTACCTTCTTCAGTTTGAAATTTGCCCCCTCAAAAAGCTAATAATGAAATAACTAAATTCCATTTAAGTTATGATAGATAGATAGATAGATAGATAGATAGATAGATAGATAGATAGAT